TACTTTAGGTGAGGCTACATAACCACATCTGGCCGTTGAAATGAAGACTATCCCAGTCAAATTTTCAATCCACACTCAGTGAGCTACGATTGGGGAAGTCAAAAACACATGAGAATGACGGCTACTGAGCTGATCCGACAACACCACTACAGACATGGACTTGAGTGTTGTTAAGCTTCTTTAAGAGTGCGACGATCGTACCGGAGGACATAAAACATGCTAACAACATAACAACGTTCTATGAAATCAATCCACAGGTAGAACCTCTATGCTTTAGTCGCCACTCTACAGAGATTGTGATCGCTTTCATCTGTGCAAAAGGAGAAATGTTGGCGCTGATACGAGAAAAAACGTAAGTTACAAAAAGCAGTTGAGAAGTATGCTCGATCACTGACCTACATTGGTGCCTTATCCCGCCAGAAAAATGGCGGTGACCTGAGAACTAAAATGTTTTGGAGGGCGACGAATGCAACACAAGTAGTAAGCTTCAATCGCAATCAAAATCAAAGGCTAAATAGTGTAAGGGCCTTGTACGGACGTACTGATACCCACTGCAATAAACCCGAACACGAGGTTGCTGTGCGAAACTATCTTTTAGGAATACCGAGGCTGAATGGGCATAAGCGAAACTTGGGCAACTGAGAGATGCAAAAATGTAACAAAAGGTCAAACCATAACATCCAAAAATTGTGACCAGCGCCCCCTTACGTCAGGTCCTCTCGGAAGCCGCTGGTTGTCTTCCAGCGATGCTGGGAGTTGCTGTTGCACACAGAATAGCGATAACTGTCGGGCATCAAATGATGAAGCTTAAAGACCGGCTGGCAGAAATTGGGAACGTCCGGAGCCGTTTATCGAATTTAATACAGTTGTGGGCATCGCAAGTACATAATAGAAACTGGAAGGTGTTAGTCTGGAAATGAATGGCAGAGCAGGCATCGGCTGTAAAGAGGAAAGACGCCAATTCGCTAGTCGCGACTCAACGGGATCTGACCACACCGTTGAGCTCGATGAAGTACAAATGCTTGTGAATGCATGTGAATGAACGTACTTCCAGTGACGACGTGCGTGAGCCAAAATTGTCAGGTCAGTATCACGCTAATAACCAAAACCGGAGATGAAATTGTGACAGCTCACGGCAGGAATGCAATCGATCAAGCAGTCTCCACACCACTTACGACTTTTTTTTACTGCGAACTCGACAATTTTTAAGTATACGAGACATATGATGGCGTAACGACTGTACCTTGTAAATACTGACTATCTCACACCCGCGCTATCCTTTTTTGTTAATGTCTTGGGTGATAGGTTCGAGTTTGAATACAATACTTTAGTAGAATAAGTTATGGTCTTGCGATCAAATCTTTGTATTAAAAAATAGAGCCTTGTAATCATCCAGCCACTTAGAAGTCGGTTTCAACCCCTTAAGTACTCGATGCGCTTATGTAATAATGCAGTTAGGAGCACTAGATCTAAGGCTACGTCGGCAGAAGCCAGACGGGGCACCTTTTGATATTCAACGTTTCAATTTCAGATTGCGGGCGTTAAGGGCATCCAACTTTAAACATCTTGGAAGTCTTGTATTTCCTGCATCAGTCTTACTGGTGCGCAGCTGTCTATCGTTATGAACATTCCCATCCATGGAGAGCACGTAAACACGGAACTCGAAGAGACAAAAAGTGCTTATTTCCGCCCTGCAGTCGGAGTTGGCCAGTGCACGTCTGGTTCATATGGCTTTAGGTAGAGTCGTTAAAACCAGTAGGATTAAGGGCCATATTTCTACCAATGTTGTAAGATGTACAAGTGTTCGACAGCAAACTGACTCGAATTAAAATTCCTGGTTTCGTTTATGACTAGTAACAGGGCTGATCAGTGACCACTAACGAGATGGAAGTAATTTCTCCAGTATGCTTTGCATTTATTGACAGAAATGATCCTTTTTGGTCCTTTCGGGACGGACAGTCTGCTTGAAGTTACACTTGAATTTGTCGTTTCCTTGGATTTTCTTATTATCATTATAGTCACATTTTAGTCAGGCAGTGGAGTTTAACATCCACCTAGTCTCCCGGATCATTATAGTCTGTTGTGCGAGTAGTGTGGATGCTGTTTTCGATGACAGGCTTTTCTTGAGTATTGACAGTCTTTGTGCTGGGAGTTAGTTGGTAGTCCGGCCAGGGACTGAATCAAGTTACCCAGCGATCTGTTTCTAGTTGGTGCCTCCAACTCCGAGCGAGGGATTCCCAGTAGTAACTGGTGCATATCGATCCTGATTCCCTGAACAGGAACCATTTGATTATTATTCTGTTCATTCAGAAAAACAATCGAATGGTTTATGTACTCGATCGGTTTCCTTCTTCCTTATCTAAAATTCAAATATTCGTCTTCGGTCATTGAAGTTTCTTTATAAGGAGAGACGGTTTTCGCTGAGAGTGCCGACGTCAATCTCACATCAGACCAATATGTTGGACGGAAAAATCTATTCTTTTGATCCTTTGGTCGTCAAGCTAGCTTCAAAGTGTTCACAATCAAGACAGCCAGGTTTAACCATAACAGCCTAACAGACGATGATTGGTTGCTTGTTTTTCCGACTTTTCAATCATAAGCAGGATCATTGGTAGTCACTCTCATGCAACCCTGAATTCATCAGCAAGCACGGTTTATTGCACCCGTTCATGACAATGCCCCATAACTTGGATCTGTTTAGACGCCCTGACGTCTACGGAATTCTACAGATTGTTAGCAATGCTAACATGAATGCGAACGCCGAGCTTTCAGACCTCGGGCAAACCAAGATAGATGACTGTCTCGAATGCCTTCGAAGAACGACCGTCCAACTGGTTGAGAGTCAAAACTTGTTGTCTGACACGCCCCGTATAAGTAAAGGAAACTACTTCTTCCTAAATTATAAATAAACACGAAAAGAACTTTTACAAGCATTCAGCAGTGTGAGCGGATTAGGTTCTTTCGCGTTTTAGGTGACCTTAGTACGCTCTCTACCACTAATAACCTTCTGGGGCGTCCATTCAAATTCCGCGTTCAACACGCAATGCTAGATGTGCTGAGGGGTCTATTTCCCTCGCAGGGTAGTGAATTTAGGAACTATCTTACCGCAGATGGTGTGGTTTTTCCATCAATGAAAATGTTAAAATAAAAATTAACGGACATATGTTCCATAATCAATCCGAACAACGAGAGGGTAAAATGCTCTCCAGAGATTCCTGTTTACACACTAATGCCTAATCCTTTGTTCATTTTACGTTGTAAACAGGTTGATTAGACATTTAGACCCTCTTCATCCCGGTAAACTTAACCAAACCGAGTCCTTGTCTGCATGTACCACCTGCGTCGCCGGTAGGTACCTCGTAACCAGGGGGCGTGAAGGTTATTGTTAGAGGTGGATAGGGTGATGGTCATAAAAGCTGCTTGTGCTTCTATTTAATTATTATGAGGACTGACACTGCATCGATCTCACGCCGCACACCATCAGTCGGCGGATTAAATCGTTCTGCAGGGCAGAATAAAGTGGCTGATTTCGCGTTCTTTGGTTAAACATGCTGTCGAAACCATTGGTCTCCTCTCGAAGCTCTGTCAAACTTCTAATACCGACTCCTTAATTGCTTGTTTCTATCAATGGAGGTTATTATCAGGGCGTGACCGCTACGCTCATACAGGCACCTAAAGTTAGACTGTGGGCCACTGTGGTACAACTACCTGTCATACTTTGTCAGTTTTAAGTGTCAGGTATCTTTCATGCAGCCTCTCCGACCTGGGCCTGCAGCCTATACTTACCAGGACAACCTTCCAGTCCCGGTGAAAAAAATAGAAAAAAACGTCCCGCGATACCAAATTACTCCAGCATTAATTTGAGCAGTAGACAAAAAGGATTCGTGTAAGAAAAGGCGAGATGGTTTAAGACTGCTCCAAGGCGCAACAGGAGGACCATTTTCACCATCCCAATCGGTGGACGACCACATCAATTTAACTAGTGATCCTCATCAAAACTAAAAGGATAAGGGTCTGTGACTCAATGGTGGAGCGTTGATCTTAATAACTTCCATTTACCGCTGCACGCGGGTTCGAATCCCGGAACCAGCAAAGTGGGGCTGGGTCCAGCTGACAACGACTAACAGTGGTAGAGGGGCACTGACCGATCGTTCTCATGGAACTCACTCATCCCGTTGTGCCTTACGGGCTCTCTCACGAGCCCGATCAGCAGCCGCAGAATGTAATTGTCGAAAAAGACAAGGGAGATTGAAAGGGCCATTTCTGGCTTATTAGCCGTTGTCAGTCAGTCATACCCAACCCCGAAGTGTGGAACACCTGGGTCTCGATCCCGCGACCTGCTGTCTTTGTCGGTGATGTTATTCTGTCTATAGTACGGTTGCCGGTTGGGCTCGCATACGAGTCCGTCAGGCACAACGGAATGAGTAAGTTCCGTAAGAACGATCGGTGAGCACCCCACTACCATTGTACACACCCCATAAGGTTCGACAGGACAACGAAACCGTGACGGTCGCGGGATCGAGCCCCAGGTATTCCACACTTTGGGGTATGACTGGCTGACGACAGCTAATAAGCTTGAAATAGCCATTCCAGTCTCCCTTGTCTTCGTCGGTAATAAAATTCCAACGACCAATAAGCCAAAATGACCATTACAGTCTCCGTTGACTCTTTCGACCTCCCGCCATATGCACGTATTACTTGTCACTCTGCCACTGTCTGTGAGGGCTCTAGATTGAAAAACGGGACAAACGCCTCCCTTAGTAGGATTTGTACGTGGTTTCCTACCATGTGTGTGTATATATAAGTAAAACAAACTACCCAACTTATAACTAGAGTCCAGGCTGTCACTGAAGTCGACTCCCTACCAGCTAAGCCGGATCTTTAGCAAGCTAGTGCGTATTCCATCTGTTCATCAGATAGTCAGTAATCAGTTGTATTTAACAGGTCAGTGACAGATCAATGTCCGGAGAGCCAACTGACTGTGAGTATCACTTGCTCCAATGGTTGCCCGTTACAAGACCTACTCACCTTCCCTCTTTGGATCCACTTCAGGCTTTGGCGGTCAATTGGACTTTCTGCGGGGTGCGGCGATGTGCACGGATGGAAAAGGCAAACCGATTCTGGCTATGACCTCGACAACCACCAAAGGTAGCTCTAAAATCGTACCGGAGCTGGCTGAGTGCGCCGGTATCGTTACGCCCTCGGACCATGCTCACTATGTGGTCACTGAGTACGGTATTGCACAACTCTTCGGTCGGAATCGACGTCAACGAGCATACGCGCTGATCCAGGTGGCCCACCCAAAATTCCGGTGAGTGAGCGCACAGTTGATGCTGACACATATCTTTTGCCTTATGTTTAATTCTGACAATTGGAGCCATATGTCGCGGTTTCAAGTTGAGATGTTTAAAATAAACGACAAAGTTTGCATCATTGCGCTAAGAGAGCCGTAAATTCCCTCGTAATTTTGGAAGCTATTTTTGGATAAAAACCGGCCTTCTTTTGTGGAGTTTGCAGTAGAGCAAGGTTTTAAACGATAAGCTTCTTATACTTTCAGACATGCATATTCCAACGGACTGTTGTTGCAGTAGGTGTACTAACTCATTAAATGTTAACCGAAATTCCCAAATGCGTTGTCGTTTCAAGAAGATTGTTCAAACAGGGTTTTAAAAATTAATGAGCATGCGGCGTAATTATATAATAATTCAGTTATCTCGGGATGCTGGCTTTCGAACGAGCATCTCTCGGCTGCATGCAAAACCACACTGTAACCAATGACTACTAAAATAACATGAATTTTTCTCATTGATTTTAGATGCCCTCAAAAATTCATTTATATTTAATGTAAGACATGCATAAAAACATTCATCCTGTTACGCATTCGGTAGAAAATTGCGTCCTCTTCTAATTTTATGCTCTAAGAAATGATATAATTCGGTTTTTAAAATTTTTTCTATTTTCTGAATAATTATGAGCCCGACCTGTCGTTACACTTGCAGTCAGAGTTTACAGACTGCAAACCATATATTTTCTGTGTACGAAAAACCATACATTTCCTTATGGTATTAAGAGGAGACTATATGGGGTTCATAAAGTGTAGCAGTAGATTTGAGCCATATTGTAAACTTTAAAAAACAAAATTAGTGAATGCAGAGACACGATGTTTTACAAACGGGCATTTCACGGTATTAAAAAACCTCATAATTAGAAACTGTCTTTAAAACCGAATTATACCCTTTCTTCGAGTATAAAATTAGAAGAGGACGCAATTTTCTACCGAATAAATAACAGGACGGATGTTTTTATGCATGTCTTACAGTAAATATAAATAAATTTTTAAGGGCATCGAAAATCAATGAGAAAAATTCATGCTACTTTAGTAGTCGTTGTTTACAGTGTGGTTTTTGCATGCAGTCGAGAGATATTCGTTCGAAAGTCAGCATCCCGACATAACTGAATTATTATAGAATTATGCTTCATGATCATTAATTTTAAAACCCTACTTAGGCAATGTTTTCGAAACGAAAACGCATTTCAGAATCTCGGTTTACATTTCATGAGTTATCACACCTACTGTATTTATGTTTCGTGACAAAAATATCCTCCATTTGGACTCATCACATGACCATTTTTAACTATAGGCAGCAAAAACTCTGGACCAGTACACAAAAAGTCCGAAAAAACTATCAGATTTGACAGCCAAGATAAAAAACCTGGCGATATTTGTGTCCACACAATTTCATAAGCGCTGTGCACAATTCCCTTATATTGAAAATTTTTAACAGAGCCTATATTCCACTACCACTCTTTTTAAGCATTCAAGTCATTAACAAACCTATTTATCCTCCAATGTTAATATAAGGGTAACTTTCAAATTATGCTCTAATAGACGAACGTTTAAAAAGCTTAAACTATATCACCTTGTACGACATAAGGCAATAACAATTCTAAGCCATGTGTTTTCGATATCCCTTTCAGCGAGCAACTGGAGAAAGCGGCCTTTGAACAACTTCACTGCATGCCGTCGGCTGATTAAATTTTCACCGTTGTTAATTGCAACCCAGTTTCTATGAATTTTGATTTTTTTAAATCTTTTCCCTTCTAAAACCATGGAAAACCCATCTAAATAGGGATGTTTGATAAATAATTTTATATTTTGGACAAATTATTTTGACGAGATTGGTGCTTTTGCCAGCGTTTCTGCAAACATGTCTTTCTAATCATCATCTTCCATATTTTACTAAAGTCCCGTGTCCCTGAAATCTTTGAATAAACGCGTTTCGCTAAGGAACACTCTTCTTCTTTGGGAGGTTGGAAGTGCCTCTGTTTTACCGAATGACCTTTTATTATCCAAGTTGACACGGACTTTCTAAAATATCTGTCATCTGGGTGTTGCGTATCATTCCGAAGCAAACGAATGGGGCCGCTTAGCAAATGATCATGATGATAAGACGGACTTGTAGCTATTAGTGATTTCGCAAACCTTAGGCAGCGTTTATTCACAATCATGAAATGTGCTTTTGGCCTTAACCTACCGCTTATGCAAGGCCGCGGTATTTCTTGAAGAGGGATACAATCTTAAATTACTGCAGGAAACACGGTATGTAGGCTTGTGGGTGGGAATATTTTAAACCACGTTTACGGAGAAAGGTGCTCGAACATTTCATTTTGTGCGCTTATTTCTTAGTAAATGGTATTTCCCTCAAATGCAGTACTGTAATGATTTTTTTCACGTTTTTAAATACATGATTATTTACCCTCTGAAACACAACCTACACTTTCAACAGAATCTAAGGCGTCGAACCGCCAGACGTTGCATGACCTACTACTCTCATTCAGTCAAAGATGCTAGTACCTGTAAAACGATTGTCTTATACAAAGAGAGCTTATAAAATGTGTTGATGGAAATTTGCATTTACTGGGCAGTCTTAATCCAAACATTTGGTCACTGGGCCAATTTGACAGTCACGCAGGTCGTACGTAATGAGGAATTTCAAGCAGTATGTTCTCCCTTTTGTTTATAAAATTCCAACAAAATCTATTTTGTTAAACGAGTTTACCAAACGGGATTCCAATGCGCTCTTTGAAGTACCCAAAATACGTGAAGAGATGCACACTTCTTTATTTATCCCCCTTGATCGAGCATGGCTTATGTGGATGACCACAAATACAGTGAGTGACCTTTCTCATGAAATGTTGGCTGAAATTCTGAAATGCGTTTTCGATTAGGAGGGATTACTTGGTCGCGGTTGTAATACTGACTATCTTGCGGCATACTGTTATAACATTTCGGACTCGGCAGGATGCCGGCTTTTAAATGCACTTCTTTTTCATCTCCTGTAGAAAGAGTGCTCGGTAAAAAATGACAACTTAAGTAGCATGCATTTTTCCCATTGATTTTCGATGGTCTTGCAAATTCAAATATATTTTATAGAAACCATAAATAAAAATATGCTTTCATGTAGTCAGTCAATAGAGAATCACGTCTTCTCTATATTTTATACTTAAGGAAGGAGTATAATTAGGTCTTTAAAAAGTTACTTATTATGAGACTTTATAAGACCGCGAAATGTCAATTCACATAGCATCGTACCTGGCCGTTTACCACTGCTTCTCATGAAATGAACAACATGGTCTGCATATATTGCAATATTTTATGGATTTTGTATGATATCTCTTTAACGGCATAGAAAAATATGTGATTTTCTTTACGGGGAACGCATGCACCTTGCAGACAGAAAGTACTAAACGCTAATGCAACGAATGATCAGGCTCAAAATTATTCGGCAATTGGAAAACTTTTTTAAAAAACAATTATACTCCTTCCTTAAGTATGAACTATAAAGAAGACATGATTTTCTATTGATTGACTAAAAGAAAGCATATTTTTATTTATGGTTTCTATAAAATATATTTGAATTTGCAAGACCATCAAAATCAATGGGAAAAATGCATGCTACTTAAGTAGTCATTGGTACCGAATACGCTTTCTACAGGAAAATGAAAAGACGTGCATTTAAAAGCTGACATCCTGCCGAGTCCGAAATGTTATAAGAGTATGCCGCAAGATAGTCAGTATTACAACTGCGACCAAGTAACCCTTCCTAATCGAAAACGCATTTCAGAATTTCAGCCAACATTTCACGAGTTAGGTAACTCACTGTATGTTACGCCAAGTCACTATGTTACGGAACATGGTTTGGCATGAGGATGTGTTGCTAATCCTACATTACTGCTGCCTTGCTCAAGCGGCCCTTCCCACTTAAAGACATATTTCAAGACTTCGGATAAAGTAGTAAGGTTTTTGGCGCGCACTTGGAACTTTATTCTTATTTCACTGCTTTCAGTTATATATGACGTGGTCGATTCTAGCGAGAAAACCAAGAACAAGTAGGTGCTGCTGCGTGAAAATGCAATAGTCGGCATAAAACTTTGGCATTTAGGAAATTGACTTTGATTATCACTTCTAGATGTCCCTGGGCGAATCCTTTTCCTTTCCTTCTTTTAATCTGAAGCGAGGTGCTTAAGATGCAGAAACAGCAGTTCACACGAACACAGCTGAGCAGTACAAAAATACCCTTCTAACAGTTCGATGGTCTTATTGGTTGGACGTTAACAGCTTGTGTTCAACGTACGGCATTCGAAGCGTGAGCCTCGGTGTGAAGGGTGAAACTAATTCGTCCCTATAGTCAGCATCAGTATTCATGAAACGGTGGCCGTCGTATCTAACTGCAATGACTTGCTTCGACCGTACTGGCGCATCGACTGACATGAAATGTAATCCGAAGTTTATTAATATGCGGTAGGGTGACACCTACCTCAAATAGTTCCAATTGTTTGCGGAATGCGAGTTTCGAAGAGATTTCTGCTTAATAGAGAAGATTTCCGCTTACTTTCTATTTCTTCTTTAAATTAACCTTCGAGGCGGGTGTAAAACGTCTAGATTTCATAGACGTGCATGTTCTTTTCGTGGTTTTTTACTTTGAAAAATCCTACTGTTCTTAATTAATAAAGTTTGGATTTTGATAATACTCCCGACACTGGCAGAACTTATATTTTCTTCGGTTAACAGCATGCCTATTAACACGACTGGAGGGAAATCACGCACACATTGAAATACTACATAGGTGTTCGTAGGGTCTTTCGCGGGGAACAAACTTACTCGTAGTTTTCCATAGTGAAAGAAAATAGTAGGTATTTTTTGGAAATGCAATCTACGCTTTAAAATATGTAAGAAGAAACAGCTCTTTTTAAAGTCTATAATACCTCCGTATTTTAAATCACAGCATTGGTTGAAAACACCATTTTCTTAGCTTAATTAGTGGATTCTATAGGATTACAGGAGATCAATGAAAAAACACTAAGTGTTAAGTTTCCCGCGAACATGATTTTAGACTGGCGGCCGGAAAGATATTTTTTGCACATTCATTATCCCACCGTGTAGCAACTGGCTTTGGATAGTGTTTGTTATTGGCCAGTAATGAACCATCACTTTAATTATTTTTCCCAGGCCCAAACGATTCAGCAGATTTAAATGTACGGCTGTTTTCACGAAGCCAAATAAACCCTTTTATTTAGTGAACTACTATCATAATGCAAGTAGTATGCACGTGGGCGCTCCATGCGGGAACTTTGCAACATGGAGACGACAGATATTTCTGAAATGTATGCTGTGTGCTCATATTTTTGCTTCTATATGTAAAATAACTACAAAGTGGAGAGAGAAGAGGTGAGGTGATACCATACTAAAGGCAGAGGTACTAGCCAAAAGCCCATACACGCGTGTTTCGCCGATCTTTTGGACTGCATGGCGCAGCTGCGAGGGGATCGGCTCGCCAGTGGGTCCCCCAGCACTCCTCGTGCGTTTTCTAGTAGATACTCCAAGTTAGAAATTGTCGCTTTTCAATTTCCTCAGAAATTATCTACGAAGTTAGAGTAGAGTAATTTATTCAAGGTCTATAAATGTCTGTATAAAATTCTCGGTCTGTGCCTATCGAAGTTGAATAAACTGATCTACTCCAACTTCGTAGATAATTTCTGAGGAAATTGAAAAGCGACAGCTGATGAATATTCCGCGGTTACCCGCTGTGGGTGATGGACGTTGGCCCAACTATTCATGTATAAGATTCTCGGTCTGTGCCTGTAGACCTTGAATAAACTAATCTACTCATACGTCGTAGATAATTTATGAGGAAATTAAAAAACGACAATAGAAGACGTGAGGCAGATATGCCTAGAAAATAATGGTGCAATGGGCGTATCTGTCTGTAGAAAGCACAGACAAATGGCTGAAAATATGCTTTCAACGAGGAATATGTGCATCAGTGCGATTACCATGCTGATCAGCAAAAACAACAACTCAATAGTGATTTGTCCATACGAAAATACCGCCTTGTTGTTTATCATCCTTTCAATTATTCATGAAAGGTACACCTCCGAAAAATCGCGATGCAGTTAATGGACATTTTATGAAAGGGAGGGATATAAGGTGTGCATATTTTACAGTTCTCGCATTCCATCACGTTTTTTGGATTTATTTAAAAAATTATTTTGAATACGACAGTAATTGCTGTAAATTTTGAGATCTCATCAGAAATCTCACCTGTTTCTCTGTTTTCCAGACCTCGTGTTACATATTTCTCCCAAAGTAAACTAAGCATATCATTACGTCCATGTGATGGGGTTTTCAGATGCGTAAAATACGCCGCCGCGCGTATAGGTCGCGTCAACCTCCTTGTTCGGAACACCAAGTTCGGGCAGCAATAGGACTGAGTGTCCGAAGGTTCTTGCAAGCAAGAGCATGTTTACGACACAATGAGGTAGTTTACATAAGTGCAGGATTTACAAGAAATTTCTTACGAAGATAAGGATAATAAATAAATCTTATGTACAGCCTCCCTGTGAGTTATAATGGAACTGGGACTAATAGACTGGGGACTAATAGACAAATCGAACGTTACTTCTTTAGTGATTTGGAGTACGCGTGTGGTTTGCGAATGCGAAAAAAAATTGCAAAAAGGCAATCAGCTGTTATGG